CCGGTGCAGAGAACATCTCGGTCAAACCGAAATGAGTTTTTAGTGCTGCACCGGCACAAAGTGTTCCGCTAAAAGCGCAATCAGAGATGATCCTGAACAGCATGGATGGCAATTAGTTGCTCTTAGACCCACTTACATACAAACAGAAGAGAGGAAAGTGTGGAAACATACATACTTTACTCCTGCTCATAGGATCCCCCGCTGAATTAGGGTTTTTTTTTCGAAAAGTGGATGTACTGAAGCTGCCGGAAAACCACTGCTATGTGCAAAACCTTCGACCAAAAATTCAAAGCACTGATGCATTTTAGTGTAATTTTGTCTGTTTTAATCTACATGTTTTGGTGCATTGCCTAGATGAGGATCTGGAGCTTTCGGAGGCTGACTTTGAGCTCTTGGTCGTGTTCCTCGAGTCTTTCCCGAGCAGCTGTTGCTATGTGGCGGCGCTGAAGAAGGCTGCTGCTGTAGAGGAGTGCTTTTGCTATCTAGGTGTGTGTTTAGTCTGCAGCAATGTTTAGGTGGGTGGTGCCACATGAATGCCAGGACCCAAGGTTGCTCAGCAGAACATCACATTGTACCGAGATAATCAGTTCTTTCAGTGTAAATGTGTTATATATAACATGCTGTTTTCTTTTTGGGGAAATGTGTCAAGCAAAGATGAGAAACTGCAGGGTTTTCTACAGTATGTTATATGGGAGGAGACTATCAAAATAATAAAACTATGAGACAGTTTTGTGAAATAAACCATTTTCAAAACAGCAGATGCACTATTTCTCGTAGAGTCTGACCATTTTTTTTGATCATCTACTAATTAGATAATCAACAGATAGAATAAAATCCTGAACCTGATGCAATGCTTTGTAATAATGCTCCCAAATGGGTACAATATTTTAAAACTGAAGTAGAATTGCAGCTATTGATGAATTTATAATTATCTCCTTGATCATTTCGTCTATAAAAATGTCTGCATAGTGTGCAGTAGTGCTATTGTAGTTTTCCAAAGGATGTTAAATGTACAGTGATGTGAAACAGAGAATATTACTCTCATTTAAGAAGCTGATAACCGCAAAAGTTTGGCCTTTACCCCTTTAAAAAGTGGCTCAAACATATAGTGGACGATTTCAAATGTGAGCAGATTAATCTCCAGTCAAGTCTTTGTGTCAGTTTCCAGTTGATTGAACACCTAATCGCTTCAGCTCTTAAGCCAAGCCAAGTTTCACCAGGCTGAAAATGTGGTGTTGATTGCTCCATTGGACTCGACTCTTGAACCAGACTTCCTGACAGCTTCAGTCAAAGTGAGCTAAAGGCTCTTACAGCCTCCTGCCAGAACAGCGCAGCGCAACTTTTCCTGTACATAAACCATAACGCACGGTTTGAAAAGAAGAGGATCTGTCTGAGATTTTTTTTTTTTTTTTTTGGATGCCAATTATATTTAGTCGGGCTGCTGTGGGCTAATTAAAGGTTCGGTCCTGATATCTCGGCGAGTAAACCTTCAGGTTAATGAGCAAAACTGTAATTATCTCCTAAGTCAGCATCGTCGTCAATCTCAACATCCTCTGTCAAGTATGCACACACTCATTTGCTCATGCAGCTCTTGCGTGATGAAAAAAGAGAGAAAAAATCAGTGTTTTAGCATGTCTAAGTAGGTAGTATACAAACAGACCAGGGTTTAATCCTATTTCTCATGAGAGTAGCCACTGGGAGAAGGAGGTAAGAGTTTGCCAGCAGCTTATTTTCACCCCAGTGCGATTCCACTCCCGGGGATTGGGGTGCTTCCACTTTGTTTGGTGTCGGTGGGAGTGAAGGAGGGGGTGGAGGGCAGAGCAGATGCATAAATTATTAAAGCAAATGTGTGTAGCTGGAAGGGACGGAATGATAGCGAGAACATGGCTGCATGCGAAAAACAACAATTTGTCAGAAAGCGCCTTTAAAGTGATCTATGCACCTACGAGGCACTTAGCCGGGGCTCTTGTTTTAGAGGGACTCGGAGGGGAGGGTTTGTTCTCTCAAGGGCACCTTGTTGATTGGTACGCCGTCGCCGGTCTTAAACTTGTATCCTGCCAGTTATGAAATGGCTTTTCTAGTGCGTCGCTGCTTATAAGCAAAAAAAAAAGGATGTGCGACAATATTAAAAAAGGAGATGATGGGAATTTATCCGGCGTTTCGTCAGACTGCGGAAAGTACTTTTCTCTCACTCTTCGCCTCTAGTGATCCGTTTCCTTCAACCTCCCTGGCGCTGTTTGTTCATTTTTATTAGAATAATATTGCATCGCTTGTAAATGACCTCGGATAAGGCTGAGAAAGCTACTCTGTGCACTAAATCTCGGTTAAAAGTGTTATTCCACGGCACCGCACTCCCGCCTAACCTCAGGAACACAGCAGTCGTGAAGCCGCTGGACTGTTTTCCTTTCTAGTGCTTTACTTTGGTGCTGATTTTGACCAACTGGCTTCTCTCCCAGAAGCCACTCAGACTGTGCAACAAAATACGAGGACCTTGCAGCACCCTTGGCAAAGCACAGATAGCGATATGAAAAATTCTGCATCACTGACTGGCTGGAACACAAAACCGTGCACCTGATGGTAACTTTTTTTTTCTTTTTCATACAGCGAAACCAACAGCTGGCTATAAATCAAAGCTTTCCCAGCATCCAGCTTTTGTTTGAGTTTTTCTTTATATGCTTATTCTTTTTTTTTTTTTTATTGTTTTTATGTTTTCAAGGATTCTCTCCTGCCTTGAAAGAAGAATTTCATTTTGTAATCTTTCCAGTGCACCGTAGCAAGGTCTCCAGTCTTGCCTGTAGAAAATTGGCTCTGGCGGTGCACCTCGACTTTAGAGAATGTGTCCTACAGTACTGAAGCTTTGTCTGCTGCTTTTTTTTTTCCAAATGTCGCCTGAAAAGTTCAGTTTTTGCGGCAGAAATGGGACAGAGTTTCCGAACAGCTTGAGCAGATATTTGACTCTTTATTAGCGCTTTTATGCCCCGCCGCTGCTTTTGAACTGTATGCAGCACCGTCACTGCCATCGTGAGGCGTCGCTTCTGTGCGAAGAAAGAAAGTTGTTTGGCTTTTGGTGGCACAGGTTTTGGTTTTTTAAATTTAGGCTACACTGCGCTGTAGGAGATGAATGAATTCCTACCCTTCATGCTGTATTGTAATATTCAAAAGTGGATATTCATGTATTCAAAAAAGGAATTAAGGTGGAAACACTTCAACTCTGTGTTCTCGATAAATGTCTTACCAAACACTTTAATACACTTGTTAGCAGACAAAAGAACATTTTCAAGTATTTAACAATGTGTTTGTTGGAAATGAATCACTGAATCATCCATAGCTGATGTAGAAATGGATAAGAAAGGTTGAGTGTAAGACAACTAGACTCGTGTTAAATGGGCATCAGTCCTTACAATATGTTACAGAAAATATAATATAATACATGTGTAATATTCACTAACTACTCACCTCAGAAATAGCTTGAGACATGCTATGATCTCCTTCAGACGGTATACTTGTCGTGAAAGGTATTTATGACTAGATAATATTATAAATCTAAAACATGCTTTCCTATGCTTTTATTTTGAAACTCCTCTGAGATTAATCCCCCTGCAGATACCTATATATGCACATGTTTTGTCCACATAGCTGCAGAAATCCCTCCTGTGTACAAATTAGCATATTATTATACCGACTCTTATCATGATAGCCCAGGGGCAGACCTAAAGTACAATGCTTTTCAGATGTACACATTCCCAAGGCGGAAGAAGGAAACTACTTCAGCTCATGAGTAAAACATGCTGTATTTGTTTTTATGTAACAAATACAGACACAACTGAAAACACCAGTCAGTGTTAACATTCAGTTGAAGGCTTTTACTTGCTGGTTCTGATGATGATGATGGTATCATTGTGCAAGCAAAGACCTTAAAGATTCGAATCGTTGAATCTGTGATTGTGGTATTTATCCACAGCTGAACACTGTAAAATTACAGGTTGAGCAGTTTCTAAATGTTTCTTGTAGGAAACCATAAAAATCAGGTATCTGTAGTCGTGGAGAAGCCATTAACCCTGTATTGATCTGACCCGGTGAGGCACCAAGGGAAGACAAACTCTGAAGAGCAACTAGAAACTGAATGTTGTGATTTTTTGTATTTTTTTACAGACTTCCGATCCTGCAAAGTTTTAGTTTTTTAGGGGGTCAAATTTTTAAATGAGACATGTACTAATTGTGATGACGTCAAGATTTTAAGCTAAGATTTGGTTAAGCTGTCTGACGCAATGCTAGCTGTGTTGACGATCGGAAAGTTTAAAACCCAAATATTCTTTTTTCTTTGCCAGGGATGTCACGATCTCGATCAATATTGGCGTTAACCTAAGCCCAATTATGAATAAATAATTTTCTCTATAATTCCACCATCATCAATCAACAGTCAAGTTAAATTTAGCACACTGAATATTTATTGGTATGTGATACAGTCCGCACAAATAGCAATTTATTATGCTCATTGACCCTACCTTGATATAACATCTGGGTGTCATTAGACTTCGTCATGGTGCCCTTTACCAGCTAAATGCTCTCTGCTTGCCTCCTCCGGTTGATGCACTGTCAAACAGTCAGAGATTCCACCTGGTGGCGCAACCAAGTACTGCAGCTAATCTAAAACACTCAAAGCGTGTATCATCTTGGTAAATGGTATCGGATTAGATTAGATTGTAGCCAAAAAAAGAAAAATTGATTGAGACAGCCCTAGTTTCTACAGTTTCTGATAAATGGTGCAGCTTGGGTGATTTATTTAAAGATATTTTAAACTTGTCGGTGGCTTCAGAGAGTTAAGTTTCTCAATTACAGCAAGGTCTCCAACTGCATAGTCGCAGAATATAGTGTGCTGTATAGAGTTTTAATATGCTGCTGAATAAAGTGTCACCAGCAGATCTTTGCTCATGCATGATTTATGAAGCATTTTTCAATGTCGTGACTGACAAGTGATTTGTTTCTGTGTGTTTCTGCAGACATAAACATGGCCGGCGAGCCAAAGCCCTACAGGCCTAAAGCAGGCTCCAAACGGCCGCTCTCGGCTGTTTACAGGTAAGATCTGCACCTCTTTTTTTTTTTCCAGCGCACTCCTTCACATGCAGAGGTGCGGCTCTTGTCATAAATATTCACCATCTTCCACATCCTACTGATGTAAATGCACCGTAATATTCAGAATATAAGGCTTCCTATTATGCCCGTGTTTGTTTGTTTTTTTTTCCTTTTGAACCTTGAATTTCTAATTGAGTCTTTAATTCTTTTCACATTTCCGTGTGTTGACTGGAGTTTATTCAGCACAAGACTGTAAAGCTCAAAGGAGATGCTGTTGTATAAGCTTCATTAAGCATGACCCTGATTTTCTGCCCCGTACACAGCTCCTGGTCACAAACAGATCAAAGCGGTGCTTGTTTACTGCAGTCTAATGTGACAGAGGTCTAGACTCGTATTCGCTGGGACGCCTCTCCATCTCCTTGGTCGTCCATTGGCGAAGTTTATTTTGCCGCCGATTTACCCCGTTCTCGATTGTTGGTTTGTTTCATTACACGTCTTATTTCGCTAATGTATTGCTTTGTGCATTGTTGTTATTTAAACCCTCATTTGCGTTTTATAGCTGCAGCTGGAAACATGCAGGATGTAATATGGTAATCATGGGAGAGGAACAGGAGAGGCAAAAAAACCAACAGTATACTAGTCGAAATTGAAATAGTAATGCATTAATCCTAATTAAAATTCCTGTGAGAACAGCAGCATTTCAAAACAGCCCCTTCTTTTTCGCCTCTTCTCTTTATTTTATTTCTCTCTCTGAATTCTAAATCAGTTGCCATCCTGAGCGTGTAACATTGATTTTCCTCTCTCGGGTCTAAGAAAAGATGTTTTTTTTTTCTCCTCTCACTCTCTCTCTCCCTGTCTGTGTCTCCTTTTCATTTTCTGACTGTATTTGCCCTCCAAAACTTTTCTGTTGATCTTTGTTGATCTGCGGCCTGTGCACGCCAGTGTGGCGAAGGCTTGCTGCTGCTGCTGCTGCTGCTTAACCTGCGATGAGCTTTAGGCGTAAACTAGACCGTGTCCGTTCAAGTCAAAGCAGCTTGAGTTTGATCCTCTTACTTTTGACAGATCTAAAATGGCTCCTTTTAATACAATCCATCCCTCTTCTTTATCTCTTCCTCCTCCTCCTCCTCTCTCGTCTCCCATCCCCTCCCCCCTTCTGCCTCTTTCATAGTGGATATGAATTTGATTACGAATACTACAGGGATGATTTCTACAGCAGGTATGTATCGTTCACGTTTGTTCACATTGCTAACTCACTGTTAAATCAGATTTGGGATTTAAGGAAACTATTAACTAGCGACCACCTCAGTTAGTGTTGAAACACCTGTTGAGCTTTGCATTCTCACAGTGGCAGATTTATCATTTAAATTATTGGTCATTTCTAAAACAATGGTAACTTGCACCAGTAATCTTGTTTACAGACTATATAAATAGGTTGTTACAGACCAAAAGTTGACATCGTCACCAGTTCTTGATCCAAGCAGCAGAAATAATGGAACATCATTGTTCTGTTGCACTGTAGACGTAATTAGTCCAAGTCTAATATGTGGTGGTTGGATCACTTTTCTAAGGAGAACCAGCACGATGGAGACCAATTACTTAGGCCCCTTTAACAACAACACAACTTCCTTATTCTGACTTTCATGTAACCCCCACAACCAATCAGAATCATGAATGCCTTCAACTGAGATTACTGTAAATGCAACTCTCCTAAAGGGGCAAATAACAATTTAAATATGTAACATAACATATACTGTGAATTATTTATGACCTAATGTGTAAACACTAACAATGTGTATGTAAATGGTTCTGTAGAAATTTGCATTTTTACCAAATTAACTATATGAATTATGAACTACACTAGTCCTGTAAATGTGACAAGGAAAACTTTGGCTCTTTACTTCACATAGTTGCTTAATTTTATTTTATTTGTTTAAATATTGCAAGAGAAGAGGGTTTGGGATGAGGAACACCTGACAGGGCACCCCTGGCAGAGATTTCTGGAGTGTAAACTTAAATCCAATAAATGGCAGCACAGAGCCGCTAACTTTCGCCTAAACTGATTCCAGGACCATTTTCCACACAGTGGGGAAACGCTGTGAACTGGTTGTAACCCCACAAACTAATGCTGTTTGCGCCGTCGATCCGCTGCTTGGCCTCGGGTGCAGTGTTGCTTGGCAACTTAGCCGTTTTCTTGCCAGGTTTGGCAACTTTAAAGGCGCTTTTCACAACTTTTTCTTTTTTTTTTTTTTACATCTATTTTTCAATAAAGTGCCAAGAGATAAATCTGGTGACATTTTTTGGGTACACACTGGGGAGTCAGTAAGACATTAAAATCTCTCTGGACTGACTGTGTGCAGCGAGCATGAGCTGGAAACAATCACTGATATCCACTGGGTGCCCAAATAAACACCCTGTTATTTGGTTTTGTTGTAAATGAACAAGAGTTAAAGTCAAGATAAATTTACCTGAACTGTTTAAGTTTAATTTTTATCTCAAAGTTTTGGATCCCCTTCTTATTTATACTTCCACAGTCTGCACAACATACAATGTTTTGGGAACTGGAGGTAGATTTAGATGCATAATGCTGCGATGATAGCAGTAGAATCAGCTTAATTTGAGCTTTTTGCTCTTGGTTTTTCCAAATTTGAGCTAATTCCATGCACATATTGTTGCTGCTGTAGTGAGCAGACCGAACATGCTACTGTTTTCATGCTTCATTACAGCAGAAAACACAATTTAATCCCTTCGCTTATGCTTCTCCTCTTGCGCTTTGCATTTGTAAAAGGCTAAAACGCAGAGTATTGTTCTTACTGCGGCCACGTCGACACAAATCCGAAGCTTCGCAGGCCGCCTCTGCTGTAATAATAATTGCTAAGCTACGAGCGGACAATATCTGCTCGGGAGGAAAGGGTTCAGTGGCTGGTCAATAGAGAAGATTTTGATTGACTCGCCCTCATTAAGAGTCTCGCTTGTCAGATTTAATTCCGTAACCTTCCCGCCGAGGTACCTTGAAGAAGTCAACTTGTCAAAACGGCTGAGCGGATCGAGCATGCGGCTCGGACATGCTGACGGAGGAACACTTGTTTTCTCTCTCATTTATCCGCCAGTGATCAGAGCGCTTATCTGCGGAGACATTTTTCTATTTTTCTAAATGTCAAACTTGTTGAGAGCCGTGACAGTCCGGCGTCACATACAGCAGCAGCCCGAGCAGACGCAATCGTTTGACATTCAGCACCTTCTTCTCTCCATCCTTCTCTCTTTTAAATGAAGGGATTATTTTCATGCGTGCAGTGACCTGGATAGCTGTGTGGAAAGAGGGATACTAAATATGAACCAAAATGTCTGCCTTTTGTTTTGATGTGTGCCGTTTGGAGAGAGGAAGATGAATGCGTAGCGAATCTATCTTTAAATACAATACTGGCTTTAGAAAGATAGTGAGACAAAGTGAAAAACCTTCTACCTCTAGTCGATGGGCTTTTTCTGAATGCTGCAGGACCTCTTGTGACATCGTAGAAAAAGTGTGAGACGTGTAATATTCGAGGTTTTTCTCCTCTTTAGGCTTTTTGACTACCATGGCAGAGTGGCCCCCCCACCCAGATCCGTGATCCCCCTGAAGCGCTCCAGGGTGCTCGCTCCTTCCTCCCGCCGCGGGAAGACCTCCTTCCCCATCAAAACCTCCTCCTCTTCCTCCTCCTCATCCTCCAGACCTCCCACATCATCCTCCTCCTCCGGGGTCAAACGTACGTACAAGAAGGTGCTCTTTTACTTGCCTTGTGTTTACGCCGGACCGCTCAGATTTGACTTTTTTTTTTTTTTCCTGCAAAACAACACGGCCTAATTACGCTAATGGCATTCTGTCCCCCTTTTTGAAAAACCGAAGGCTTAATGCAAATCTCAAAAACCATGAAAGGGGAAAAAAAAAAGGCGACGCCGGCATAATTCAGCCGTGCCACTTGCGCCGCGCCACTATAAAAAAGCTATTTAATTCACTCCAGCAGCTCAGAACAAGCCACACTGTAATGTAGAGCAAAACACTAAATCGCAAACACAAATATAATCCCAGCTTTCCGAGCTGCACCCATTCAGCAAACGGCGCTATTCCTGTCGCCCGGCATCCATCTGGATCTCATTTTGGTCCCTCTGATTAACTGGTGATGCATTATAGCGTCCTAAATGTAATTAATGTGAGATTGGGTGGGTGGCGTTGAGGGTGGGAGAGATCTCTGTGGAGCTGTGGTCAGCTGTGTTTTTCCTAAATGTTAGTCTCTATCCGTAGCCTGTGTAATTGGTTACAGTGTTTGTTTCATTGTTGCCTGTCTAGGCCAGTGTTATCAGCGCGAGCAGCTTGGTGAGGTCTGTCAGGAGGACCCAGCTGCAGTTGGTATTACACAGAAAGGCGGGGAGGAGAAAAAAAAAAGCCCATCTCCCATCCTCTTTTTGGACAGAGTCAATGAATTCTCTTCTCTGTCTAAGCAGTGCGGCTGTATGTTTGGGAGACTAATTTGCCCCTGCCAGGACCATGAAAAATCACTGTTTGTATTGACTTTGGCCTAGATAGATTGGACAGCGAAATAAGGTTAGCTTGTCCAAACAACGGGGTGGGTTAGTGCGAGCAGTTTGAACCACTTGGGCAAGTTATAATTCACTTTAGGGGGGTAAAAAAAAAAAAAAACAAACAACCGTCAGATGCATGGATCATGAAGACGGATACATGTGGGTTTTTCAGACTAAGCCCTCTGAGACTGTCAGTTCAAGTGCTTTAACTTTTTTACAGCTTGCTAAGTCAGTTGAAACAAGGCTGTAACTGCTCCACAGACTTTTTTTTTGGGTGTGAGTCACAGATATCTAAGCAAGGCTTGCCGTTCAGCAGTCATCTCGGTAATACTCTTGGGCATGTATTTCAGGCTAACAAGACCAAACCCTTACTTAAGGAATAGGGAGAAAGCCATACTTGCAACTTCAACGGGCAAAGCACAGCTGCAGTGAAAAATCCATAAAAAATGTTTGGGTGATTTTGCCTCAAAACAAGGTTTAAAAGGTGTTTTTTTTTCCACTCCATAAGTTATGCGTACAGTTTCATGACTCAATGCTTGAGGCAGCGTTGCAACATGATTGGTTGGATGTTTCCCAGTTGAAGCAGAAGATTGGCTTCTTGAGGTGGGGGGCTGGACATCAACGTTATAGATTTCAATTCAGGATTCTTTAAGAAGCTTTCAAAGCTACTTGTTGAATCTAATATGTGGTTTCTGAATAATGTTCACGTTTTTCTGTCGGCCTTCTTTGCTAAAATGTTCCTTATTTCTTCACTTAACTGAAAATGTATAGTTGTAGCTAAGTTCTTTGGCTCATCATTGATTAGTTGATTATTCGATTATCTGATCGAGAGAAAATGAACCAAATTGCTGTTTTGGACTAAAACTCCCTGAATCCAGCTGCTCAAAGTTGCAGTATTTTCTGCGCTTTTGTGATGATAAACTAAAAATCTAGACAGTCGGTCAGACGAACCCAGACGTTTTTTCTGCTTTTTAGCATTTGCTGACATTATAAATAACAAATGATTCGCTCTCCTCTCCATTCTGTTTGTTCGTACATCTTAGAGAATCTAAGAAACTGCTTTAACAGTGGTATTGTGACTTTTGAAATGATGAGCGCAGCCAGAATTGCGAAGCTTTGAATAGTTTGTCAAAGTTGGATGAGAATTTAACCGAATACCTCGCTAAATAATTAAACAAACCCCATTCCCAGCCCGCGTTTAGGAGTGTAAACCGGTGAGCTGAAGACAGTTTTAACGAAAACACATAAATATGTGGTTGAATTCACCAACGCCAAATGGTTTATACTCCACATATATAAAGCTAAATGTGCAGTTTTACAGCAATAAAAGTAAAGGATTAGGATATTAAATAAAAATGCAGATGTTTTGCAAAACAGGCACGGATATGAGTACGGCAAAGTAAAGTGCACCATAAATCCCTGCAGCGTCCATGTGTCCAAGCTGGTAACTTTTCAACAACTGCTAGAGTCTGAGTGACATTGGCACCACCAGCCCCCAAAACTCTTTGTCCAGTTTAATCTTCATAGACCAGTGATTCAAGAGATCCTCACTATCCCCGAGATAAAATGTCCGCAGTTCATGACGAGGTCCTAAAATTAGCCTCATTACTCATTCCCTAAATCTTCCCCTAATGCTTATTAAATAACAATGGCCCTTTTTTTCCAGGCCTTTTCCTTTAACTGGGGCTATCTAAAGATGCCGTGTTGATGAAGCGATGTTGGATTAGGGCGTGTATGTTTTCTCTCTGCAGCTTATGCGGCTGATAGCACAAAAGGAAAAAAAAAGGCCTGGAGGCCCCCGATAAATTAGAAACTGTTCCACACTTTCTTATCATCAAAGGACGACTAGTAAGCTGCCCAGAGCGGGCTCAGATAATGTTGGCATAGGGAAGTGAGCGTATATGTGTGTGCCTATTCTTGGATGTTGGTTTGTACAAATGGAGGCAGGTGAGAAAGAGATAGTGACACTCCAGCGTGTCTCCCCCCCCACCCCTCCATCCAGATATGATTGTATATCCAATGTGTTAGCCCTTTTTATCCCGTCCAGAAAGGTCGATTTTTTCTGCTCGCCTGTAGATTTAAGGCTGATGGCTGCTTTGCAAAACAACACCGGAGTAGATCTTGGGATTTCTGCCCACATATTACCTATGCATTGCCTTCAGTGTGCCATTATACGCTGCTTTTCTCTCTCTCTTGTTGCCACATTAATCATCCTGCTCCATTTTAAAGAAGTCATGCATTGGCAAATATCACATGCATTGGATCCTGGTGGGGGCCAGCTGTTGTGCTGTTTTTCACCAATTCTAGTGAATGATTAAAATGTCCTTTTTGGGGGAAATGTAGCTTTCCGCAAGGTAATGTGTCAGTATATTTATTTTTTTTATCACGCGCTGACATCTTCTCTAAATGTAGATGTGTATGTTTTATGCATGGGTTTGGATCATACAAAGTGGCGCGTAGACATCGGAAGGGGCGCCGCATTGTGATGTGGTGTGGGTGTAAATATACATCAAAGAAACTAACTCAAAGAGCCACATGCAGACATGATACCAGACAAGTAGTGTTTTGATTTTTCTGCATGTCTCCTGTCTCTGTTTTTTTTTTTTTTTTTCTCTCTCCAGCTGAAGCTTTACAGGAACTCGTGGGTTTGTTTACCGAACGCCTCATCCATCCTCTTTCCAGCCCTGACAGAATCTGATAGGTGTCAAAGAGAATTTTATGTTTTCTTCTCAACTTCTGCCGTCTGTTCTTCCCTTTTTCCCCCCCTCTCGAAAGATGACACATTGCAGCCGCCGAGGGTTAAGGAATAAGATTATCTTATTACTTTTATGGTCTAAATTCTTTAATCTGCTCAGTTCGAGCTGCTAAGGAGTTACACCCTCATTTCAGCGGCAGACGGACCAGATTGAATTAACGGCGACGTCCTTCAGATGTTTTTGTTTTATTATTATTTCCTGCTGCTGTTATTTTTCGTATTAAGGTTGAGACTCCGACTTCGACACGATACGGCGGCTGTGTTTCGTTCACCTCAGATATGTATTGTGGAGCGAACACCGAGAGCCGAGGCAAAGCGGGAGGGGGAGAGCAATTATTCATAAGGTGGTAAACAGAAGCTGTGAGAGAGAAAATTGAGCCCCCTGTTTCCCTACGTCTCTGTTAGCGAGGCTACAATCAGGCAGGAAATGCAAAAAATAGGATTGAAAGACGCTGGTATTGTTTTAATAGAGAGGTAGTTTTATTTCTGCCCTTATTTCAACTAACCCAGAATTAACCCACCACACGAAAAATACTGTGTATAATCATTTTATATTAAGATCCACTGGTTCCTAACCTTGTGGCTGCTAAACACCCTGTAGTAAAACCAGTATGCAAATATTTGAAATTGCAAATAAGCTGCAGTTTCTCTGTGCATGAAATCCTTTTTTTTTTTCATAACTCGCCCCTGAATCTAGAAGAACTGCTTTGTTATGAAATGCATGAACATAGATACGGTTTCATATAGAATTTTATTTCACTTTACTCTGAGCTACACAGATTTTAAATGCTGTGTTTGAATTTTTGTCATGTTCTATGTGACAAATTGGTAGTGCTAACAACAATAAAGCCACCTGTGGTGTTGTTTAGGTCCTACTTGTGTAGCTCTGACCTGTTGGAAAAGGGACTTTGTGCACCTTATAGATGATTGATTAGATTGAATTCTGGGGCGTTTAGAAGCTGGAGCAACACATGGGGCTCTTGGTCGTGTTCCTCGAGCCATTCGTTAGCACTGAGTGTCGCAAAATGAGCACTATTACCACTTCTGATCATTGCATTTTGAAGTTATTAAGACAGAAATTCAGTGATGAAATTAAGTAATTTTCTTAAACAAGAGGAAAAAAATCAAATATTCATGTAAACTGGGTGTGTTCAGCCGACACTGGACATCTCTTCGTCCCCCTCACTCCTGGAGGAGCTGCTTTATCAGAAATACAGCAGAGGAGCAACCGGTTTATCAGCTAACAGCACAGATACAAATACACCCTATTTCATGTGGCTGTTTCCTCATAAAATCCACCGGATGAATGCATTTAATGTCCAGCAGCAACAGCGAGAAGAGATCAATTTTCAGTAAGTGCGACCAAATTTACCATATGCACTCAAGCAAGCAGATTCTATCATAAGGTGTAAAAAAAATATATATATATATATATCCTCATGCTTTACAGAATCTTCTAATGTCAGCACACTGAAAGATAGCACACAGTTTGTGCAGATATTTGGCACCACTGAGTGAAACTTGAGCAGCGCTGCACAGCATGGTGGGCGTAAGCCGTGCACTAATCTTCAAATTGAAAGCAGCAGGTCCACAGTTTTAGCTGGGTAACTTTTCAGTTGGCCAGATAAAGATGTTCTTCCCTGAGGAAAGTGTGACTCAGAGTGATGCTATGATTTCCAAAAGCTGAAAACCAAACTGACGGCAGACGATCTGTGCTCCCTTTTAAAAAAAAAAAACGAGCGAAATTAGGACGAGCTTAAAAGCAGCCCGCAAATAAAGACGTTTTCTGCCTTTTTTTTTTTTTTTCTGTGCCTCAGCAGTGAAGACGGACCAGCTCCAGACGATTAAACGGGAGCTCACTCAGATCAAGATGAAGATCGACTCTTTGCTGGGACGCCTGGAGAAGATTGAGAAGCAGCAGAGAGTCGAATCTGGTGAGAAACGGGCGGCGGAGTCTGAGGACGAATAGGGAAAAGGGACCACTGAGGGAGGGAAATTAGGAGCTCACGCTGGCCATAAGTCTTGGTGACATTGTGGGAGATAAGAGCGGCGGAGCTCTCCGTCATAACGGCAGACAGGTGTCAACACCCCGCTGACTCAGTTTGTATGAGAGGTCTTTATAGATGCCCTTCACTGCAGGACGGCGTCAGAGTGCAGCTCCCTGTGAAGGTCGTTTAGGCCACAGAATGCATGTTTGTTCCCCAGATTGGGTTTTTTAATTCAAATTTCCTGTTGAACATACACAGCAGTTGAAATACCAGAATTCTTGCAGTAGACGGCTACAGAGGTTAAAATGGAGAGATAACTGTTTAGTAATGCATTAAAAAAAAAA